TGGCTCCTGGATGCCTAAATGTCCAGTGTCTACGCACTGCCCCCTTTACTCCAAAAGGCATCACAAGATCAACACCCAACTACACTACTTCATGCTCATGTAACAACAATATAAATTATATCTCCCACTTGTAATAAAGTAATTTAGCTTTAAATGTGCTAAAAATTAAAGAATTTCTTTAACTTAAATTTTGTCTACAAAGTCATACACGCTATCCATAAAAACTGACACAGCAGTAATCTGATACAATATATTTTCTAAATAGAAAAATGCACATAAAATAATTAAAGGTAAAACTATAACATAAAAATAAATGAAGGGGGGAAGAGCTCATAAATATATGAAATTACAAGGATACATGACTTTAGCTCAAACAATATACTAATGAAAAACATTAAATGTTTAACCATGATTACAAAGAATAACTACAAATGCAGATTTTAGAAAATGTCAATATGAAAAGGAAGGAATTCATGATTTGAAGTAATATTGATATAAGGAAAGCCACAAGTTTGTCATTAATTTGAGAATGTGAATAATGAAGTACATTTTAAAATATTTGGATAAATTCATTAACATTAGTAAATTCTTAAATACTAATGAAACAATTCTTAAAATAGAGATGTTGCACTTTAGATACCTAAAAGGCTGAAATATTTTTTACATGAAATAACTTAAATTTCAAAATGTGCATATTTTTATAGTCACTGGTTTGGAGTAAAATAATCTGTATAATAATTTCTATATGAGTTTAAGTGAAATACCTTACTTTGACATGGTACTGCATACAATACAAGTACCCTGAATTATCAAACAGAAATTTTAACCTGGCATCATAAGTGTAGAGATACTAATATTTTCTAAAGGAAGGAGATTGATCCCTCTTCTTGATCTAACTTACAGGCTGCCACATATTCTAAATTCATTGTCATTTCTTCCCTTGCAACTCTTTTATTTCAAAAGTATAACACATGGCAAACATGCAAATCATGTATTTATTTTGAAAGCACACTAGAAATCTGAAGACATCAGGAAAAAGCCAAGAAGCCAGGGGCTGAAGCTCCTGGTAATGTCCCAGGAAGGCTCTGTCTCCACACAGGTCACTGGAACACACGTAACACCTGTTATTCCTCATCGATTTTCAAATTGGTAAATTCTCAACAGGTTCCAAACACTGCACAATGGGAGACTTAACTTTTCTGAAAAACTGAGTACATGGTAATTTTATGTTTCACTTGTACAGAGTTTATTAGATAGTAAACTGTAAAGAGATACGGAAAAGTTTACACAGGAAATGACAGAAATTGTTAAATATATAAGAATATATTCACAATCACTGATTTAAAAATACATGCACAAAACTGGAAGAATGGGCACAGTGTTTCCCTTTTATGGATAATCTTTTTCCAAATCTTCATCAACATTAAGATATGTCACTTTCCTATAACTTAATTCTAGTTCAATATATTACCTAGACTTAAAATACAAACTGCTACCCTATAGTTTTAGCTGTTTGTTAGCTTGTAAATTATATTGAATAAAAGAGATTTGTAAAATATAAAAAGACACTGTTCAGAAATATGTAGTTTCTTATGTGAAAGTATTATAGGAATGTGAGCTTTGTGGTGATGCTGGGATATCGTCCTAAAAGTTTTATGTCCATCTTCCGACGAGAGAGACATGCAATTATTATATATCACCTAAGCATTAGTACTGAATCTTATTGAAGGGGAAAGATTTGTTACGCACTGCAGTTCTTCCTGGAGGATGGAAAGAACACCAGGAGTCTCTAAGGCAAAGTATAAACCAAGCTTTATTCTTAGCATTGGTGGATCAGCCTGGCTTCACACACCAAGAGAATGACCCCACTTTGGAATTGAGTAGAGCTAGTTATACTCTGAGAAGAGGGCAGGCTTGCCGGAGTTACAAAGAGCAGAAGTCATATAAACTCAGCAGATTCTTTGGAAAGGCATCACAGACAGCAAGCTCAGTGCACAGAGTTACTTTTACATTGGGTGGGGAGTTAACAAAACTGTTGGAGAACAAAGAACATTTCTGAGATGTCTGAGAGGAAGTACCAGGCTAAGCAAGCCCACACATGTGGAGGGAATTAGGGAAACCTTCTCCACCAGTAAGTCTGCCTTTAACTGCAGAGAGGCACATTTCCTGTTCATTCTTATTTCAATGAGTTACTGTTTGTCAAATGCTACACAAGCACCAGGTCTAGAATCCAAGTATAGTAATCATAATGTAAAAGCAATTGCCCCATACTTTGCTGCTGAATATCACACTAAACACAATGATGTCAGAAAGTTGACTTATTATTTCATTAAAAGTCTCTAATTGGGGTATGCAGAAATATTATATTGGTATAGTTTTTAAAATTACAAAAAATTTCCTTTCAGAGATGTGTTCCTTATCAGCACGATTTTTGCATCTTAAAATTAGCACTTAACTGATGACTTCAACTTATAATATGAATTTTCAAGTACCTGTGTCTCAAAATGTCTAAGAAAAATTTTTTAAGTAAAGAGACGCTAAAACAACAAGAAAACAAAATTTATTTTTATTAAAAGAGACAAAAGAATTTGTTAGAAGAAAAAAGGACAACTTTAAAAGTGTAACTTTCTAGCATCACTGTTAATTTACTTGACTAGAACCTGCTGTCTTCTGCATGATTCTAACAACAGCCTTTTTCACCTCTTTGTTTCTGAGACTGTAAATGAGAGGGTTCAGCATGGGGATCACAATCGTGTAAAACACAGAAGCCACCTGATCCCTGCCCAAGGAGTAGGACGTCTTCGGGTTTACGTAAGTAAAGATCATGGTGCTGTAGAAGATGGTGACTCCGAGGAGGTGGGAGGCACAGGTGGAGAAGGCTTTTTTCTTTCCTGCAGTGGAATTAAATTTCAGGATGGTGGAGAGGATGGACAGATAGGATCCAGATATGGTGATGAGGGACAGCACTAAATTGGATCCAGCACAAATGAATATAATGATTTCAATCTCAAATGTGTCACTGCAGGACAGGGCTAAAATTGGGTATGTGTCACAGAAGAAGTGCTGGATGATGTTACAGTTGCAGAAGTCCAATCTGCTTATACAAAGTACAATGACAGTGGAATCCAAAAAGCCAATAACATAGGAAACTGCAAGCAGGGACCAGCACAGACCTGTGGACATAATGACTGGATAGCACAGAGGATCGCAGATGGCTACATAGTGATCATAGGCCATCCAGGAGAGAAGGTAACATTCGGACGCAACAAACACGATAAAAAAATACAACTGGGTGAAGCAGCCCAGGAAGGAGATGCTCTTGGTGGAAGTCAGTAAGTTCTGTAAGGTTTTAGGGGTGACGACATTTGAGTAGCTGAGGTCGAGAAATGACAGGTGAGTGAGAAAAAAGTACATGGGGGTGTGCAGCTGGGGATCCAGGCGAATGATCAATATCATCCCCACGTTCCCCAGCACCGTGATCAGGTAAATTAGGAGGAAGAGCACGGAGAGGACCAGCTGTGTCTCTGCAGAGTCCGTCAGCCCCATGAGGATGAAGCCAGTCAAACTGGTGGAGTTCCATCTGCCCATGGTGTCCTGCTGCTCTTATCTGTTGAATAATAAATTTTTAAAATTACCCTGTCTCCACCATGTTTTTGCTTATGTGAATGGCTTAATATTTTCTTAGTCTTCCTGGAAGCTGAAAACAGTTGTGAAGAAGAGTGAAAACATAAAATCGCAGTATATAGATCTGGCTATAAAATGACAGTTGTTTCTGGTGTAATAAAGAGTTATCTTGTGGTTTTACCCTGAAACTGATATTAGTTCTAACTCATTCCAGTATTAACACATTGAATTCTTAGGAAAATCTTGCACCATCAGGACCCCTATCTGCACACTTTCCTTCCAAAAAAAGCACAGAGATCACTTACGTAAAAGAGACCAGGAAGTATTACCACTGATTCTACCTTTTTGCAGTACTGTGTCCCTGATCAGAACTTCTTTTCACAATACTGAATGTGGATGTATAATTGACTACACTAAAAAAAAAAAAAAAAAAAAAAAAAAAATTAGTGTGTTTTTCACTATACTTTTGTTTCCATTGACTTGTATTTTAATTAAAGTAATTTCTTTCTGTGGACTCAGGTGATTCACATTGATATTAAATTCCTGAAGATAGAATAACTTTGACAAAAAAAATCACTCTTTAAAACTTGTATTTTTAAAAATAGACCTCTCCAGCTTCTCCTTTCCCAAGTTAGGTACACTCTTCCTGTCCCCACTCAAAAGTTTGCACAGGAAATTATTACATAGTCTCAAAATTATCAGGATTGACTGAGAAGAAAATTCAGTTTGCACCCCAGGAAGTCAAGGTATGCTAGTACTTGAAAAAGGGAGGCAGGGAGCTTGGAGTCACCTGGACATAGAAGCCCTGCTAGGAATTAACACAAGGAGACAGAGATTTTTTGGGAGAAGAGGCTTCTGTCTCTCCTGCGGGGTAAATAAAACCATTTCTTTCCCAAAAATTATCATGTCCTAACTTTTTTCAGGCAGAGAGAAGTATCAAACTTCAGGCCTGGTAACAATGTGTTTTTAACTTGCCCATGAAAACTCAATTTTCTTCAAAAATTATATTGTCAGAAAATGTATGCTGATTGTATCCTTTGACACAAAAACTATTTTCCTTTTTTTGCAATTGTGAACATTACTTCTGATGAGAACAATATGATGTGTGTATACATAGTTTTTTTATACAATCAACTATTAATTTAATCCAGTATAATCCCCTCCAGTTCTTGGAATACTTACTGTGCACCCAGGTTGCAGATAAAATCATTTCCCAATGTTGTCTGTTCAGAAATTTGTCAAACATAAAATATTCTCTGAAATCAAATAAGAAGCCATATGGTGAGTGGAAAATTATTGTAGTCACATTGTTTTTCTAGGTATAATTTATCTTTATGTTGTTCTGCATTCATTTTTCTATGCTGAGGTAAATCGTATCACCCTTGAAATTCTGTATAAATCTTGATCAAATGGAAAAGTCTCCCGGAAGTTTCCTCTGAGAAGAGTCTGATGAGGAGCTGTGAATGGAGACAGAGCAGTGTGTGCCTCTCCTCCCAGTCAGCCTCATATACGGTGCATTCAGGACACTGCAGCCTTTGCTCATCCTCGGGAGAAATTTCCAGGGAGGATTTCTTGGCCTGATTCCTAGGAAAAAAGTTCAAGCATTTAATGAACACATAATTTTGACTTTTGCCTTCGAAGCTGCACATTTAGAACAGAGACACTTCATTTTCTTATGTGATACTCCATGTTTCTGCTGAACTTCATTGATTTACTTTATAAATTGACACATAGTTATATGAACTTTCCAATAATCATGGTTACATTTGATTGATTAATCAGAATTTTTTTGACTATGAAGGTAGAGAAGTCATTTTATGAGTTGTACTTTCTTTACTTGTGATACTGTTAATGATTGGACAGTCAAATTTTTCATCTCTAAATCTTTTGTAATTAAATGATTGACTTGGGTATAGTCATAATGCATATTCATTAAAAAAGGAGAAAAGGTTAAAATTCAAAGAAAAAATAAAGGAATCCATGACTTGCTACATTTTGTTTACATATAAGTAATTTCTTCCAGTCTTTCCAACTGTATGAGAAAATACAAATTTGGACAGGCATTTTTATGTTCGAAAATTATTATAACACAGTATATTCAGTATTTTATCCTAAGTTTCTGGCTCAGCTCATTTGGCCAGGACTGGGTGGGTCGGCCTGTCACTAAGGAGCCCCTCACGTCTCACACTTTTGACAGGACTCTAGTCTTCACTAACAGAACTGAGAGGCTGAATAGGCATGCTCGGGCCCCACAGGCAGGTGTTGGGGAGAACCTCTATTATGGTTTGTCTGGCTGGCTGGCTTTGTCCACAGGCTATATTATTGTAAATTATTTTATCCTTTTGGTATATTTCATTTTTTATTTTATAAAAGAATACTAAGCAGAAAGAGATAACCAACCCAGATGTTATCATACATTTTGTAATGATTACTAGGAAAGCACCTGCTTTGATATATATCTTCACATAAGTTGTTATTTTGAGATGAATAGAAGAAGTAAAAACATAATAATAAAGCTGAAATTCATTCTTAGGTGTTAACAGAGTTAGGGTTAGGGTCTTGCTACAGAGCTTTTCTGTGCGGTTGAATTCTCACCACTGCTTCATGAGGACAGAATACTCAGCACTAAGGCCAATACCTGAGAAGTCATCCCCCAACGGACACCTTGCAAATGCTCTGGGAGCTCCTCCTGAGTGAGTTGGAGCTCTGAATCAGACTTCCGTCTGTATATTTAAAGTCGGCGAAGGAGGGAGGCTGGTGCCTGGAAAGATTACTGGGCACAGAGAAGTGGTTTGCTTTCTCTTCTTACATCTCGCCTTCCAGTCGGAGAATTCAAGGGCAGAGCAAGCGGAAGTTTACCGAAACAGAGCCCTGCCAGGTTGGGGGGTATGAGGAAGTTTCACACATTAGGTCACCATAGGACACCATGCAGCCACAGCCAATATTCAGCCAAATTGCTCTTGGGTTTTGGATGCTTTGTCCAAGCACAAACACGAAATTATGATGAGGCTGAAGATGGAGACGGGTTGGCTACTGCATTCCCAACTGCTCTGCAAATGATTTCAAAGCATTGACCCAATGGGAGTCTCTTGAGTGTGCACGGCGTTACCGTGGGACCTCATGTACCTCAGGTTACCAGGGACTGAGAGCAGTTTCACAAAATCGATCATTCGGTTAGGGAAGAGATGGGCCATCAACAGCTGCAGAAAAGGCAGGGTGAGGGTACCAGCCAGTCTGGGGGTGAGGGGAGGAACCCAAAGGCTCTAATTGAGAGGGTTATGATTCCATGAGATTATATTTTCCCTCTCCTTCCAAAGTTTGTCTAGATTTTCCTTGAGCTTTGGAAGAGTTTCCTGGGTTACACCAGACCCGTTGGCACAGAAACAATAGGCCTACCATAGAGTAGCTCATGTTCCCCATTATTACAAGAACACTAGATCAAGTTCCCCCTGATTTTAGTGGGACTGTCTCAGCTAGTGCCTCTAACTGGGAATCAGGATTCTCTAGGGCATATTGCAGGATCCCTGGGGCACATTCTACCTGTTCTGCTATAGCTGAGAGTCCAAGTTCTCCTATGGCCAATGTGGCAGTTCCTCGTGCAGCAGACCCGGTTACCCCTGACCCCAACAAAATTGGCATGACTATGGGGACTTCTGTCTTCATGGTAGTTCTGGGTGGTGCTATGAAATCCCAGGCCTGTGGTCTCTTGTACATACAGAATTTAGGGAGAAGTTTTTCCAGGATGCAGAAGACCTCAGGTCGAACAGCTCACTAGGAGCCTCCAGGTACAAGCTAGTCTGCAGTCTGCAGCTGAGCTCTGTCCTTCTTGGTGACCTCACGCCAAGGTTTGGACAAGGTTTGGAGAGTCTGCTGGTTTGGACAAATACCTTTGAATGCATGGTTTCTCTTTTATGAGGATCACAATATGTGAATGATTTGCAGAGCAAAGAAATAAGAGCATGGTATAGTGTGCATTTCTGTAATCACAGCGTGTGGAAAAATGAGGCAGGAAGATAATGGAGGCTTGAAGCCAGCCTGGACTGCATAAGAGGACAGTTTCTCAAATTCCTTCCCCAACAAGAAAAGATAGTAAATTAGCTGTAGGCATGGTGACATCACTCTATAATTTAAGCACCCAGGAATCTTGGGTTTGAGGGTTGTTTCACTTGGCATATACCTTCAGTTCACAATCTAAACTGAAATATGTAGTGAGACCATGCCTCACACACACACACACACACACACACACACACACACACACACACATGAGAGAGAGAGAGAGAGGAATATGAAATAATAAAAAAACAATTTTTTATTGGATCAGGGAAAGGTAACATTCATATGAATACAATCTTCTCAATGGTTTTTCCCTAATAAAACAAATCCTCAGCTGTGCTTCACACTGGATATTGGATGAACTCCCTCTGACGATGTGGGAGAAGATAACAGAGCCAAAGACAGGAGAACCTGAGCACCGAGTTACCTGCCGGAAACGGTTAACCCAAAAGTAATCTGAGCAACAGGGTGAAGACGAAACAGGATAAATTCAGGTGATAGCAGTGGGCATTGTTTTGTGTTGAGTGAGTCTGTTCCTGAAGGTTTTATCCACGAAGAAATCTATATCCGAATACAACTTCCCTGCCATCATCATCCACCGTTTGACAAGTTATTCTTTAATTTACCAAGTTCATTTTCTGCACCTAAGTTTATACTTGTGTCTTTGAAGCTGTAGCCCCCAACGCGAAGCACAGTGTCTTCTATTAAAATTCATGCTTTTCAGTGACATCTGTTTTAGTAAACATAATAGCAGTTTTACTGTCTAGCCACTGACCATTGGGAAGCAAAATAAGGTATTTGTATTTTTCGATGTTGCACTATGGCCTTTTAAGGAATCGCATTCATGTTTCACAGCACTCTGACCTGGCACCGTGAACGAGGACATGAGATCTCACATTATTTCAGAGAAACAACTTCCATTACATGAGCTACGTGGTGATAGGAGAAGTAGATGATTAGGCAAATGCGAATAGTTTAAATGTTCCTTATGGGAAAGAGATCATATTATGTTTAATTAATAACATGATGTAAAATGCTTTATAACCCATGCAAAAAAGAAAATAAAACAGCACTAATTTATTTAAAATTTAGGAATGTCTTCAAATGTGCTATTTTTTTCCAAGTCAGAGATTCTATTGACAGATTTGACAATGAAAGTTAACAGTATAAATTTTCTAATTCATACAAATATATAAAATCAATATAAGAAAAAGCCTACATCTTATAAACATAGCAAAGTTCTTGCAATGAGTCTGAATATTGTTTATATACTGAAGACATGTTTATGTTGCAAGATATAATTACACAGATCATTAGATATAAAATTTGAAAGTAAAGTAGAAAATATTATATAGGAAATTACAGATAAATAATACTAAATATATAGAGACATATATTCATAAGCACTGATCTACGAGATCATGTATAGGAATGTCAATAATTAATAAAAAGTTTTTCTCTTATATAGTAATTGTCATATTCCAAATCCTGTTCAATATTAGGACATTTTACTTTGGTATAATTTCTTTTAATTCAATATTATCTATAATCTGAATGCAAAATTAGAACCTCCTGGCTATGTTTGTTTCCTTTTTAGTTGTTATGTTTATATATTAAATTAACAAAAAATTCATAAAACATGAAGAAATGTTATTCATAAATAAATGTATTATGGATTAAATATCATAATAATGCAAGGCATCTGCTGATGAGAGCCAGTGTTCACTGTTATACTCAAGGTTTGACAACCACCTTCTGACCAGACAGATGTGGAATTATTATTTATCTTGTGCAACTGATGATACTGACTTTCAGAATTTCAGTGAATTATTGTGCATTTATACTACATTTTTGGAAGATCTAGAATTTAAATTCCTAAATCTTGATTTTGAAGCCATTTCTCAAACATTGCTGTGCTGCTATTAATCTCTATTATAGCCAGAACATCTATTAGAAAATTCTCTAAAAATGGAGCACACATAAATATGGTATGATGTCATTTTCAATATGACAAATCATATTTTCTTGTTTTGCACATTAGTTGCAATTGAAACCATGCATATTTCCTCACAGATATAACACGTATTTCCTCCTTGACAGATGAAATAGAGCTCTCAAGATTCTATGTCTGGAAATGTCCATAATCATATTTGCTAATGAAAAGAGATCTGGAGCGAAAAAAAAAAAAATTAAACCCCCCGCCACAAATTTCAATTCAAAAACAGACTGCCAAAATTCCCATTAAAAAAGGAAAAGTCAAGCTGGGTGTGGAGGTGCACACTTGTAATCCTAGCACTCGGGAGGCTGAGACAGGAGGATTGCTGTCAGTTCAAGACCAGCTTGGCCTACATAGTGAGTTCCCTGTCAGTCTCAACTACACAGTGAGACCCCGTCTTAAAAAAAAAAAAAAAAAAAGGAAAAGTTAAGTGTAAATTCTTAGCACCACTGTGATATTATCTGCCTGCAGCCCTCTCTCCTCTGCATGATTCTAACAACAGCATTTTTTACCTCTTTATTTCTGAGACTGTAGATGAGAGGGTTCAGCATGGGGATCACAATCGTGTAAAATACAGAAGCCACCTGATCCCTGCCCAAGGAGTAGGACGTCTTCGGTCTTAGGTAGGTAAAGATCATAGTGCTGTAGAAGGTGGTGACCACCAGGAGATGGGAGGCACAGGTGGAGAAGGCTTTTTTCTTTCCAGCAGTGGGAATTAATTTTCAGGATAGTGGGGAGGATGGACAGATAGGATCCAGACATGATGATGAGAGACAGCACTATCATGGATCCAGCACAAATGAATATAATGATTTCAACCTTAAACGTATCACTGCAGGACAGGGCTAAAATTGGGGATGTGTCACAGAAGAAGTGTTGGATGACATTAGAATTGCAGAAGTTCAATCTGCTTATGCAAACCACATTCACAGTGGAATCCACAAAGCTAATAACATAGGAGCCAACAAGCAGGGACCAGCACAGTCTTGTGGACATAATGACTGGATAGTGCAGGGGGCTGCAGATAGCTACATAGCGATCATAGGCCATGGAGGAGAGAAGGAAACATTCAGCAACACCAAAGACTATAAAAAAGAACAACTGGGTAAAGCAGTCCAGGAAGGAGATGCTCTTGGTGGAAGTCAGTAAGTTCTGTAAGGTTTTAGGGGTGATGACACTCGAGTAGCTGAGGTCGAGAAATGACAGGTGAGTGAGGAAAAAGTACATGGGGGTGTGCAGCTGGGGGTCCAGGCGAATAATCAATATCATCACTGCATTCCCCAGCACCGTGATCAGGTAAATCAGAAGAAAGACCACGGAGAGGACCAGCTGCCTCTTTGCAGAGTTCATTAGCCCCATGAGGATGAAGTCAGGCACACTGGTGGAGTTCCTCCTACTCATGGTGCAATGTTTTAACCTACTGAAAAATCAAATTTCATACTTAAAACAGTTTTTGTTTATATGAGTAGCCCAGAATTAATTTTAATTAGTTTCATCTTCCTGGTAAATGGAAAAATCTTTGCTGAATATAAAGAGAAAAGTTCAATATGAGATAGAGAAGGATATGGTATGAATTGACATCTTCTTGTCCGTAACAAGAAGTTGAATCTTATAGTAATAGCACAACCATGATACACCCTAAATGTCTTCTTTATTAACACATTTAATCCAGGTTTTATGCCGCAGTCACTATGATCCACAGACGTTGCGATGACAAGAAGGGCACAGAAAAGAACTGCTGTGAAATCAGAGCAGTTACTACCCTGTATTACCGGAATTCTACCAAGATATTTTGCCTCCTGAGAGAATGGTAAAAATTCTGGATTGCTCTTTATAACTTGTTTTTGAAAACTTGATCGAGGATATGTAATAAAATATAAGGAAAATAACTTCAGCTTACTTTTGGTTCTCATTTAGTTCCCAGCAGTATTGGGCTCGAATTTCACTTGTTCGTAAACTTAGGTGAGGCCCGCTAAGATTACATAGTGCATATAATACAGAGTCGCTGAATATATCTATCAAAACTGAGGGCTTAAAAATTTTTTAAACATTGAGATATTTTGAAACATATGGTGCTGCTCCTCATTCCTGAGGCAGGCTGTGTGTGCCTTTGGCCTTAGGAAACCACTTTTCTCTAAAAGAGTAAAACAAACCCAACTAAGTCTTAAGGATACATATTGCAGTGCCAGTTAAAATTCTATCATCTCTCTGCTCCTGCTTTGAATATATTAATATTACTTTAATAAGTTTTAAGTGTGTGTAAACGCATATTCTTAAGATAAAAATCGCTGATTCATCTTTTCTAAAACACATATCAAGCATGATACTTACTGTGAGTCAGGGTTGGTGAAAACAAATTTATCCCATGTAGCCCGCCTAGAAATTTGACAACTAAGATTTTTTTTTCTGAAAGAAAATATGATAATAATGTAAGCACCTCCAACTTTGTATAATATTTCCTTTCCTTAATATGAATGACTTTGATTTTTTATATTATTCACTGTTACAATGTTGTGCATTCTTCTTTTTTTAGTTCTGAGGTAAATTAAGTCACCCTAGCAGGTTTATTCAGGTCTTGATCAAGTGGACACTCAGCAGGAACTCTTGTGTGAAAAGAGTCCCAGCCAGCAAGTGTGCATTTAACAAGAACACGGGGCACCCTGCTTCCCCACCTGGTCCTTCCAGGGCCCAAGGAGCACGCAGGGCCCTGCAGCATGTGGTCGTCCTCTGGGCCCAAATACAAGGATGAACACTGGGCTTGAGGCCAAGGACCGATGTTCTAAGAGAGAATGAGCAAAGGATTTTCCCCTAGGAAGTTTCACAGGAGAGGAGAAACATGTTCCCTCACAATGCTCCACATTCTGGATAAACTTTATTTACTTTTGTCACATAAATAGTTAAACGTGAGAAGAATAATGTTTACACTCAATAGTGGTCTCAGGATTGTTGTTTTATTTGTTTTCTTTTGTGGTGTTTTATTGTTGTTGTTGACTGAGTGACTGTAGATTAATTTTCCAGGAACGTATTTGTGACTGACATTGTCATGGATGGAATAATAAATTTTTCATCAGGAAAGACATTGTAATTAAAAGTTGATTCTATGACAGGAGTATTACATCCAGGGTGAGCAGCCAGCCTGATCTAAAACTCTGGAACAATAAGGAATTAGAGGGAAGACGTTTAAGAAAGGAAGATGCTTTATTGGTGAGAAGGAAGAAAGAAAAAGCAGACAGAAGTAAACTGCCCTGGAGAGGACGCAGGGTCTGGAAATAGATGGACAGGTGCAGGCCTTTGTCCCTGGGCCACTTTAATTAGGCCATAGCACCCAGGACACAGCACCTGGGCAAGGCACAGTTTGTGAACCAAGTCAGCTTGTTGATTTTTTTGTGTCATTCTCTTAGCCTTCATTGCATTGATATCTGCTCTGATATCCTCCCTTTTGTGAGCCTTGTGTTTTTCCTGCTTTTCTTTTTCTAGATGATTGAGGCTCAGCATGAGCTTGTTTATTTGAGATGCCTCTGTTTTCCTAATATGAGTATTCATTGCTATGAATTTGCCTCATGAGATAGCTTTCACTGTGTCCCATTGATACAGATACGAAGTATTGACATTGTCATTTAATTATAGAAACTGTCTCATTTTTTCTTTAATTTTCTGTATCACCCATTGGTTATTCAGAAATGTGTTGTTCAATTTCCATGTGTATATGAAGTTCTTATGGTTTCTTTTGCTATTGATCTCCCATTTCATGGCATTATGGTCTGATAATATACAGGGTATAACTTCAGTTCCTTTGCCCTTACTTAAACACGTTCTATGAGCAAGCATGTGGTCTATTTTGGAGAACAACGCATATGCAGAGGAAAAGAATGTGTATTCTGCTTTTGTGGTGTGGAACACTTTCTAAATATCTGTTAAGCCTATTTTTGCAAGAGTTTGATTGAATTATAGTATTTGATTGTTTATTTTTTCTCTAGTTGATCTATCTGTGATAGTGGGGTATTGAAGTCCCCCAATACTATTGTGTTAGTACTTATATGATATTTTGTGCCCATTAGTATTTGTTTTATATAGTTGGGGGCACTAGTGTTTTGTAAATATATATGTATGTTTGTCAGTGCTGCATTTTTTAGGGTTCCTGTCCCATGGAGTATTGTTTTCCATCCTTTAACTTTCATTCTACGAGTTTCCTTTTGAATAAGTGTGTTTCTTGTATGCAGCACATTGTAATTTGGGGGCAATGACAGAAGAGTAGCACGCATCCACGAAGGAGAGCATGCAGAGGAAAAAGTACATGGGGGTGTGCAAAGGGGAGCTGACT